GGAAAAAAAAAAAAAAAAAAAAAAAAAAGAATGTATATGCAGTAGATTTTGAAAATTTTAATTGGTACATATTTTCAGTAAATACCGATTACCTTTTTTGTGAGGCTGGTCCGTGTACATAACACACCTTAATTTCCTTCCCTTCCCTTCTCTTCCCCCTCCCTCCATCTCTTGGTCCCCTTTCCATTTGAGAAAGATCCTCTCTACATCCTATTATTTGTCTTTCACTTTGCTCTTTATATTTCGGGTTTTCATAAAAGAGAAACCATGTGATATTTAAGCTTGCGTGTCTGACTTCACTGGACGTGGTCTCAAGTGCATCCATTTTCCTACAGATGACTCAAGTTTAGGGAACAGTACTCCACTGTATAAACACCACATTTTCTTTATTTCTCTGTTGATGGACACAGGCTGCTTCCAAGATTTAGCTACTGTGAATTGTGCTGCTCTAAACATGGGTGTGCATGGATCTCTGTAATATGATGTCTTTCACCCTTTGGGGAAGATACGTACGAGGGAAATAGCAGGGTCAAACAGGATTTCTATTTTTAGCTTTTTGTGGAATCTACTGATTTCCGCAGTGGCGGTGGTCATTTACATCCCCACCGGCAATTTAGAAGGGGTCCTCTTTGTTACCACAGACCCACTAGCTTTTGTTAGCATCTGGCTTCTTGATGACAGCCGTTCTTTCTTGGGTAGGATGGAGTGTCACTTTTGTTTCGGTTTGCATTTCTCTACTGGCCTGCGATGTTGAACATTTCTTCGTGTGTTTAGTGGCCATCTGTATTTCTGAGAAGGGTCTGTTCAATTCTTTTGCCCATTTTTGATTGGGTTTCTTATGGGGGGGTCCTGTTTTTAGTATTTTATGTATTCTAGATATTAGTCCTCTGAGGAAGAGCTGGCAAAAATTTCCCACTGATAGTCTCTTTCCTCTGGTTTCCTTTGCTGCGCAGACGCTTTTTAATTTGCTGTGATCTCATTTGTTGGTTCTTGATACTGTTTGTGCAACTGGGGTTCTGTCCAGAAAGTTCTTGCTTATGCCTATGGCTTCAGGAGTTTCATCTATTTTATCTTCCAGCAGATTGTTAGCTGTTTTTAACAGTTAGATCTTTGCTCCGTGGTGAGAGAGATGGGTCTAGATTGAATCTTCTGCATATGAAAAGCCAGTTTTCCCAGCACCATTTGTTAGAGACATTATCTTTCCTCCAGTGTGTTTCTCTCTTGATCTTTTTGAGACAAGGTCTCACTATGTAGTCCAGGCTGGCCTGGAAGTCATGGCGATCCTCCTGCCTCAGCTTCCCGAATGCTGGGATTACTGGCGTGCGCCACCACACCCAGCTTTTGCTTCCTCTCCTTGTCCATTAGTTCACAAGTCTGTTTTTGTGCTAGCATCATGCTGTTTTTATCACTGTGGCTTGGTAGTATGACTTTAAGCATGGATTGTGATGCTTCTCACTCTGTTCTTGTTATGCAGGATTGCCCTATGCTGGGTCTTTTGGTTCCATGCGAATTTTAGGATTTTTTTTCTCCAGTTCTAGAATGAATGTTGTTGGTATTTTGATTTGTGATTGCATTAAATCTGTTTATCAGTTTTGGAAGTGTGGCTATTTTGATAATGGTGTTTTGCCTGTCTAGGAACAGGGAATATCCATTTTCTGATGTCCTCTTTTGAGCTCCTTTTTCCAGAGCTCTGTAGTTTTCACTGTAGAAGCTTTTCAGTTCCTTAGGGTAATTCCTAAGTATTTAATTTTTCTTGTGAATGTACAGTTTGCCTAATTTCTCTGAGTTCATTATCGGTGTACAGGAACACTATTGATTTTTTTGTGCATTGATTTTGTGTCCTACATTGCTGAATTTGGTTAATTCTAGGAGGCTTTTGGTGGAATTTTCTTACATAAATTATTTCTCTACTGATGCAGAAAAAAATCTAATGGTTGTTGCCTCCAGGGAGAGGAACTGCGGAAGACTTTTTTCACTGAATCCTCTTGTGTCTTTTGAACTTTGAACCACATGCCTGTATTACCTGTTCAAAAAAGTCATTAAAAAAATGGCTTCATGACCGTAGGATTAAAATAGGAGGAGACAGAAGAGGCTGCTTTGAGTAAAAAAAGCAGGTCTAATGGAGAACTGTTAACCTAGTAATTTGAATGACTCCGGAAGTAACAAGGAGCCAGAGTGAGACCACGGAAGCCATGAGCTGGAGAGACTCAGACACGGAAGTTCACCTGGATAAGTTAGAAGAATAAGGGGTTTTGTTTGTATACCGTGTAAACACTCATATTAATGTGGCTGGACTAAGTAGCAAACACAGACCTTTTTCTTTGGTTGTGCTACGGCCCTTTCCAGAGCAGCTTTTAGCCTTTCTTCTTGGTATCTTTGTTTTTCCTTGATTTTCTCTTCACGCAACCTGTCAATAGGAGGGAAGGAACATTTTCATGTAATTTTTTCCCTACAATTCACAGAAAGGAAAGATTACATCATTACTCTTTGGTAATGGGCTATCTGAAGGTAACACCTCCCATAACAGTGGCTTTAGAATATACGGGCAAATCTTAAATCCTATTTGGAAATGGGAAATTTTTTCATATTGCCACTTCAGAAGAAGTAAAATCTACCCAGAACTTGGTCTGAAAGACCAAGTCTTTTTGTCACTCCACTTGTATTTCAGCACTGGGCGTATAATAGCTACATCAATTCAATTGCAGCTCCCCCTGTCCTGCCTTTGAGTTACCTGTATACAGAAGACGTGCAAACTGGAAGTATGTGGCTCAACTTATTAGCACTAAAGTGTACTTTGCAATTAACCTTTCAGATGATATCCTTACATGAAGACTAATAAATCCTGTTTGTCTGACTTTAGGATTACGAGGGAAAAGCATTGTGTGAATTGTCTGGTAATGAGGCTCGGTGCACGATAGGCACTGGAGGCCTATGAAATGCTACATGAGTGCACGAGTGTAAGACGAAGCACCAGGGGGTGAAAATAACATTCACCGAGCATGTTAAGTGCAAACTTCGGTGCTGTATTAGGTGCCTCCAAAGCATGGAGGAAATTCTTTTCAATAATGCAGATAATTGGGATTAGATTCATGTCTCTGCTGAAAAGAAGTTGCAGTTACACTTTGAAGAGAATACATGTGCCAGTAAAAAACACACAAGCGCTGCTAATGAGTTTTAGGTCATCTTTAGGAAAGCAATCCTCCATGTAGACACTCATTTTTAAATTTGCTTTCTATTCAGTAAGGCCCTATCAGGATCGCCTTAATATATTCCAGGCTTTTCTACATGGGAGAAACAGTATTTCCCCGCGTACCAGTCAAGGAGTAAAAGGGAGGGAGGTGGGTGGGAAGGGGGTTGAAAAGGGAAAGCTTACAGGCTGAATTCTGTACGTGTATCTGCTTCCTGAGGGGAACCAGACCTTCATGTACTGTGCTCACGAACTAATAAAACAGCACGGCATCGAATGTTAACGGCTATTACTGAGGGCGGTCGGTGCTTTCACATGGGTCATGTAACCCTCACATAGCAACCCTAGGAGATACGTGGCACGTTGCTGCCGTTTTATAGATAAAACCGGACTGGAGAAGGCCCCTGCCGTGTGAGAGATGTGCCGATGTGCCACTCGTTAAGTCGTTCACCGCCCTTCTCCCCGCAAGCCCGGGACGTACTTTTGCCGCCGCTCCTTCTGCTTCAGCCTCTCGATTGCCTCCACGTTTTCCTTGGGGATGGACTCGATGAGGTCGCTCAGCTCCACCAGGCGGGACTCGACTTTGACCAGCTTTTGAACTGGGTTCAGGCTGCCGACCTCACCATCGCCAATGCAGACTTTGTACACTTGATTAATTTTTTTACTAAGCGAGTCTATCAGTTTTTCCTGAGTTTGAGAACAAAAGAGCAGGAAACATCGCAGCCTGTCGTTATTTGGTTGCTCAAATAAGTGGAAAATTCCATTTTACGATGCTACGATGGAAAAATCCATTTTATTAAATATTTCTTTTTGGTGCTGGGGATTAAACCTAGGGCCTCACTGCATACTAAGCAAGGACTCTACCACTGTGCTGCACCCCGACCCCCTTTAAAGGCAAAGCTTTAATAAGACAGGGACCAGTGAGAAAATGCAGCAGGCATTAATTACACTAAAGGTATTTATATCATCATTTAGAGTTAACACCTTGCATTGCTCTCTTAAAATATATTTGAGTAGGTATAAAACGTATACGAAGACAGGGTATCTTTTTGCTCAAACATTTTTGTGTATCTGATTCCCTGACATCCCAGTGGAGGCGATGTATACATTTGAAATCCTTTCACACCCCTTGACACAGTATGTGAGTCCCCCTTTTATTATTTGAATTACTCATGAAATCATTCAGTGCACACATGCCTGATGACGGACCACTTTCATGCCACAGCGACACGCTCAGTAGATGTTTGTGGAAAACTGAATGCATTCTTTCAGAGAAAAATGTTCACAAGCAAACGGATTCCCAGGCTGGCCGACCAGAGCCTTTTTAGGTTACTTGTCATGGTCCCCATTGGGAAGTCGTCGCTGATCCCTCTACTTTGATTCCGTGCTGTTATGACCATAAGTAATGTGTTTCAGGGCCGTAAAAAATTGTCACCCTCTTTCTCCACCGCGTACTCAGAATTTATCACTAAAAGGACCTCAGTGAGCTGCTGAAGGAAGTCATTTTCCAGGTTGTGTTCTGCCCCAGTCCCCGCTTCTGCTTGAGAAGATGAGAATCATCAAGAACAAATTCTGTAACGAATTCAGACAGTGGGGCTCCTCAAGTGTGGGTCTGTGAGCTCTATGGAGCCACCAGGACGTAAGGCCAAGATCTGATCCCAAGGGTGAACGGCCCCTGCCGCCCTCCAGTTCCACAAGCTCACTGTGGTCCTCTTGACCTCAGGTGTCCCACCTTTTCTCTGTCTAAATACTTATTCTTTTTTCCTATTTCTATTAAAAACAATTCTTTTAGAAAACTTGGAGAAATACAAATTAATATAAAAGAAGCAAAAGTCTTATTTGCCAGAAAGCCCTTTCTCATCCCTCCCTAAAATAACGTGGTGTGTTTCCTGTTTATATAACAACACATTCCTTTTGGAAACCTTGGGGACAGACATCAGAAGAATATGGTGTTAGTTATTTTTCTTTCATTGCTGAGACAAAATACTGACACCCAAAGTTAAAGGGGAAAGGATTTATGTAGCTCACAGTTTGTAGAGGTTTCAGTCCCTAATTGCGCAGAGTGGCACATGGCAGAGGGACAACACAGAGGAAAAACAGTTCATGGTGCCCTCACGGTAGCAAAAGCAAGAAGTGAAACTTAACAGCGTCTTTCTGCCCCTTTTATCCAGACTACTGGGATTAGGGCGGTACTCAACCCCAGTGGGCTGACTTAGTCATCACACCCTTATCCTAGCGTCACACACTCTAGATTCAGTCACCTCTGAAAAAGCCTCCTATGACTGCATGAGGCTTTAGGGGTATGTCTAGACCCAAACCCATATTCCACCCCTGTCTCCCTCAAAGGCTCATATACATTCCTTTATACAAAAAGCATTTCTAAGAGCTGCCGAAGCCCTAACGGGTTCAGCACTGCTGAAAAGTGCAAGTCCAAGGTCTCTGAGATTTAAGGTAAACTCTTAGCTGCAAGCCCCTGTATAAATGAAAAGAAAGTTAAACACTTCTAACATTCAATGGCACAAAATAGACATTTCTATTCCAGAAGTTACAAATAGAGGAATACAAAGGAGTAGGACCAAAGCAAGTCCAAAATCTAGCAGGGCAGATAGTAAGTCCTGTACTCCTATGTGCAGGATCCAAGGGTTTGGGTGGTTCCACCCCTATGGCATTTCCAGTAGTGGTAGCTCATGGCTTCTCTCTTGGGCCAGCTCTGCTCCCACTTTGCAACTTTCCTCAGATGATCCATGTTTCTGGCTTCTCCAACCTTCTCCATGGCACCTTCATCTTCACACTCACAGCTTCACACACTGCCCTCTGGGGGGCGCCCTGCCTGGAACTCCCAGGCCTTCTGAAATTTGGGTGGAAGCCTCCCTGACCCTATATAACTCTTGCATTCTGCATACACCTAAAACGAGCACTACATAGATGATGTTAGTGCCTGCCGCCAGCTGGAGCAGTAGCCAGGCTTCCTTCTCTCTTGGCTAGAGGGGTCCAGTGCCTATGAATAAAATCCCGAGGAACAACTTCCCTAGGCTGCCGCCATTCTGGAACATGGTGCTCTGGGACATTCTTTTCAAAGCAAAGTTTTTCACATTTGCAATTTTGAGGCTGCAAAGGATATAGTGCTTCTTCTTGTGATGCCCTCAGGCCATCTTTTCTATTTTCTCAGGAATCAATATCTCTGCTCTTTCTTTGCAGGCCACAGCTTTATTGGAGTTTCATTTCTGGCCAAACTCAAACTGTTTTAAATCATTCTTCTGGGATCTTTGCTCTTGGTTCTCCACACAAATCTGGTAAAAGCCCCCAACAGTAGCCATGACATTGCTTCAACTTTAGATTGCCTTGAAATTTCTTCTTCCAGATTAGTCCACTGCCCTTAATCTCAGTCCCAGGCAAAATCTCTGGACTTGAGCAAAATGTGGCTAACTGGATTTACTGAAGACTGAAGCCTCACCCTGGGTAAGGGTGATATGAACCAATAGGCTTAGAGCTTGGATGGCATAAAAGGGAAAGGGAGGCTCACGGCTGCTTGCTGCTTGTGCCTCCTGCTTGCCATCCCATGAACCGTTTCTCCTCTGCTGTGCCTCTTGCCATGTCACCCTGCCTTTGGGCCAGCTGAGTGTGGATTGAAACCTCTACAAACTGTGAGCTTAAATAAAGCTTCCCTCCTTTAACTTGTAGATCATTGGGCATGCTGTCACAGCAACACAGAAAAGTAACTAAGACAGACACAAAGAAAGATATTTGCTAAGAACAGCATTGAGAAATAAGAGAATGAAGTTAAGGAAGATAGCATGCATGAAAAAGAGATTGAGGACCTGGCCCACACTGCAAAAGAGCAAAGGGGGCCAAAGGTGGAGGTCAACTGATGACAGAAGCGAAGTGTGAGCTTGATCGCTGGAGCCACCACAGGATGGCAGGCCCAGCCCAGAGCACCTGGCAGGAGGAGCTGCCCGTGTGTGCGTGCGTGTGTGTGTGTGGTGATCTTCAGCAGGTTAGGGAAGACTGAACCCAGCAGCAGAGCTTCAGGTGCCCCGCACCAGTGAATGAGAGGCGACTAGAGCAGTGTCTTGACTGGAGAGGGACCGTGGGCCTCCTACAGCACATTCTCTTCCCAGCCCCAGGGTTCCATCATTTAACCCGTGTCACTTTCTGCTGTGTGCTGACTGCCCACGCCTCTCCGGGCCCAGCTACATCAGCCCCAGTCCAAAAGAAAAAAACCCGAGATGAACGCATTCTGCAAGGTGAACAATCACGTTCCACTTCACGTTCAACGAAAATAGCTGCTACACGAAGCAACCAGGGGGAGTCTCCCAAACGTACTGGTGAGGGTGAGAAGACCCACTACGCGGTTCCATTTCTGCCAGGTTCCAAAGCAGGAAATCTAACTGAT